CGCTGGGTGGCTTGATGTCAGATGGTGGAGTAGCTAGCCACAAGCGGTCTCTTCCATGCCCAGTTAGACGTCCTAGCGCTGAATTGTACTGGAAGAGGCTGCAGTGACAGACAGATAGCAAACTTGATGACCACTCCATTACTACTGGACCTCTCTCCTTGACGAAGACATCGCAGACCACAAACCAACAACATCCTTTTCTACTCCTTGGCATGATCCTGGCTCCAACGCCTACTTACAAATAACCTTGGATCTGCTGACAGGTACCTTCTAAGACAGTACCATTCTCTGACCCACGTTCGCCTTACTTTTTGGTTTAAGACATGACTCAGTCTGCACTCCTCTCTAGCTCAAACACGTCGCAAGTCCCCTTAATCCCGCTCACCCCAACCGGAGTCCCAACAAAAGAACCTGAATTTCTCTTTTCAATAGGCTGTCCCAACGATCGCCTTTGGCTGCTGGTTAAGCCCTGGCTCTAATTTCCTAAAACGACTAAGAACACCCACTCCACACTCTTCGTCGTCTGTCCCGTCTTCCCCGCTCATCCATTTGGGATCTTTACCATGTACTTTCGTTCTCGTTTTTTTGTCCGTGACTTCAGACTTCATATTGTTTTCAGACAACGGAACAATGCTCTTCTCCAGACTGAAGACTGACCACCTCAAAACTTTAAGGGTGATGGAACGATTAATCGTCTTCAAGTATCTTTCTGCTTCTATCAACTGTTTCTGTACTCGACTGAAGAAGCCTAATGTGTAGGCGAAATGCGTTTCGTCGAAATAAAGATACCTAACTGTTGTCATATTGTGTCTTACCTAACAATCTGTCTGTATTTTATACCAATGTAATGTTCAATCTGTCAAACATGATTCGACTGCACACAAGTATCTTGGTTACAGACCATCAACTTCGAGACAACCTCACTATTAGTACGGCTGAGTTTGAGAGGGACCTGCCCTCATCCAATAACCTACGTCCCCCTCCTGTGCAACTATATAAGTGCCCCATGCTCACACTTCAAACTTCATATTGATTTCAGACAACGGAACAATGCTCCTTCTCCAGACCTGAGGGACTGACGCACCCAAAACTTTAAGGTGATGGACTGATTACATCGTATTCAAGTAACTTCTGCTTCTAATCAACTTTTTCTGTACTCGAACTGAAGAAGCTACTGTGTAGGAAACGTTTTTTATTCGAAATAAAGATTCCGTAACTGTTGCAGTATTGATTCCTTACCTAACAAGCCTATCTTCATACGGGAGGTTCCTTAAACACTAAATCATTTAGTCCATTCTTCTCTGCATGGTCACTAATTGAGTCATATCCATCCTATAGTAAGGGTACCAAACTGAGCAGACAAATAATCTAAACTATTCTCCTCACTAGTGATGTATAAAGCTGTAAAAATAACTTTTGGACCTTTCTGTTAACTCTATACTAATCACTGAGATACAAAATCCCTAGTAATCTGTTGGCCTTGTTGCGCAACACTAAGGCACTGCTGTCTTAGCTTAGATTTCTGGCTTACCATGACTCCCAAGTCCTTTTCACATTCTGTATGATCTAGCTCTACTTCACCTAGAATTATAAAAGCTTCGAGGTTATTTTCCATTACCAAGGGCAGTAACCTTTCACTGATCCACATTGTACTTCATCTGCCATTTTTCAGACCAAGACATTAAGTTGTCAAATCGTCCTGGCGTTCATTTGATATCCTCCTCAAGAGTGAATTTACGGCCTGATCTTTGTATCATCAGCAAACTACTCATGTCACTCCGTAATCCCTTCATCAAGGTCATTAATGTAATTATGAATCAAGAGAGGCCTAAAACTGATCCTGTGGAAACGCCACTATGACAATCCCCATTCAGATTTCACTGTCCATTAATGGTATCTCTCTGCTTTCTATTGGTAAGCCATGCCTCGAATCCATGCTAGAACTTACTTCCTATACCCACGACTGCCACTTTTCCTTAAGAGTCTCTTGTGAGGTACTCTGTCGAAGGCTTTACTAAAACCCAAATAAACAATATCATATCCCTTATCACTGTCAACTGCCTCAAATGTTCTATTGAAGAACGTCAGTAAGTTTGTCAGGCAGGAACGACCTCTCGTGAATCCATGCTGAGATTCATTTATCAAGTTATGCTCTTCAAGGTGACTTCTGATAATGTCAGCTATAATTGATTCTAATAACTTGCCCACTATAGATGTCAGGCTTATTGGACGGTAATTTGAAGGAGTGGACTTATCCCCTGATTTGAATATAGGAACCACATTAGCCATCTTCCACAACTCTGGCACAACACTGGTAAGGATGGACGCATTGAATACACTCGTTAATGGCTGACTAAGCTCCATCTTGCATTCCTTAAGTACCCTGGAAAACAGCTCATCGGGTCCCGGGGACTTATTTTGCTTCAGTTTGTCTATCAGTTTAATAACCATGTCCCTCGTGACAGTTTACCTGGAGTTTACCGGGATAGAGTTCCGGGGGTCAACGCCCCCGCGGCCCGGTCTGTGACCAGGCCTCCTGGTGGTATCAGAGCCTGATCAACCAGGCTGTTACTGCTGGCTGCACGCAAACCAACGTACGAGCCACAGCCCGCCTGGTCAGGAACCGACTTTAGGTGCTTGTCCAGTGCCAGCTTGAAGACTGCCAGGGGTCTGTTGGTAATCCCCCTTATGTATGCTGGGAGGCAGTTGAACAGTCTCGGGCCCCTGACACTTATCGTATGGTCTCTTAACGTGCTAGTGACACCCCTGCTTTTCATTGGAGGGATGTTGCATCGTCTGCCAAGTCTTTTGCTTTCGTAGTTTACCTGGAGTTTACCTGGAGAGAGTTCCGGGGGTCAACGCCCCCGCGGCCCGGTCTGTGACCAGGCCTCCTGGTGAGTGATTTTCGTTTGCAAGTTCTGTACTAGTCCCTCTAGGATTTTCCAGGTGTATATAATCATGTATCTCTCCCGCCTGCATTCCAGGGAATACAGGTTTAGGAACCTCAAGCACTCCCAGTAATTGAGGTGATTTATCTCCGTTATGCGCGCCGTGAAGGTTCTCTGTACATTTTCTAGGTCAGCAATTTCACCTGCCTTGAAAGGTGCTGTTAGTGTGCAGCAATATTCCAGCCTAGATAGAACAAGTGACCTGAAGAGTGTCATCATGGGCTTGGCCTCCCTAGTTTTGAAGGTTCCCAAAGAAATGGGTTAGTTGCAGCAGCCGTGAAGAAGGTCTTGTAGATGTCCTCTGAACCAAGATTCCATGATGTTGCAGTGTCTGACAAGTTGAACCGGCGATCCAGTTTACACTAGAAGAAGAGTCCAATGACAAGTTACCTTTCCTCGACGTCCTCATTCACAAAGTAGACAACAACCTAAGATTTCAAGTTTATCGGAAACCCACCAATAAAAATGATCTCACACACTTCTATTCCAGTCAAGATACCAAGACCAAAAGAGGCATCATCATCGGGTTTTTCCTAAGAGCATACCGAATTTGTAGTCCTGAGTTTCTTGACGAGGAGTGTACATACATTCACCAAATATTCACAGAGTTACATTTTCCTTCTTTTTTCATCAAAGACTGCAAGAAAAGAGCTCTTCAGATCATAAATTCTCCACGCATCAACACCACTCCCAGCAAAGTTATAATTCTTCCTAACAGTCAGGTTGCACTGAACGTCTCAAAAGCACTTTCACAAGCTAACACTAGAGTCGCCATCGCTTCTAGCACTTCAATAAAGGATATAACCAGGACAAAATCCAAGCACCACGAACCAGTCAATGCAGGAGTTTACACTATACCCTGTGGAGGCTGTGACAAGATTTAAAGTAGGTGAAACAGCCAGAAACCTCGACACCCGCCTCAATGAACACATTTACGCATGTAGGAACGATAACCTGAACAACGCCTGTGTACAACACCGAAATTCCACCAATCATCTCATGAAATTCAGAGACGCCCAATTAGTGATCAAAGAAACTAATTTCCGCAGACGCAAGTGCCTCGAATCAGCACTGATCGCTGTTTCGAATACAATTAAACAAAACAACGGCAGCTTCACCATCTCCGAAGTCTTAGCAAGAATCCTCCTGAAAACAGTAAACCCTGCCATCACATAGTCTCTCCTGTTATACTACACAAAGCACAGAGAGTGAACACTGAAACAAGCTGCCTCATTCCATTTATATTTGTCCAACCTATTTTTATGTTACCCAAGTAATAGCTTTTATATCCTTTTACTCATGTACGAATTAATTGCTCTACCATATTGTATTACTTTTGTCACTACTACTACTACTACCACTAGTGAACATAGAAATGGTACCTCACTAGTATTCACCTCACTCTGAGCCTTTATATACCCTCTGTGTCCATATATTGTTTGTAATGGCTTGATAAAGCTCCTGGAGAGCGAAACGTTGCCACAATAAATGTCACATTAGTTGCACTTGTGTCCTTTTACTTTACATATCCAGATGTTGCACATGTGTCTTAACTTTCATTCCAGCAAGGGTTCATCAGCAACGGTAGCTTCATTATTATTATTACAGTCATGAGGAAGAGCTAAACCTGTAGGATTATACAGCTCTTGTGGAGGGGTGAAAGGCATTCAGGCTTAATTCAGGGAACTGGAGCACAGATCCAATTCCCTAGATCAAGAGCCCCCACCAGCATCAAGGAACCTCCGTTGAGGGTGACAGCTACAAAGATCTTCCATCAGAACTGGAGTTATCATCACCTGGGAAGTGGTTTGAAGTTAGCGGGTGAGGCTGGAACACCATCTGTTGGTGTGAGGTAACACCAGCAGCTGAGTTAAGGTGATGGAGGAATAACATTAATGTGTGTGGATTTGTTTTAGTTGCAACCCAGCACCACTGACCTAGCTGTTTGTTTTTATTATTTAGTGTTTTTTGGAATAACGTTGTTAGGTGTGTGTTTGTAGAGGATAGTTTGAGGGAGTGTCACTGTGGGATGTTTGGTGTTTGTTAAGTGGGTGTTTGTTAGTGTGGGTGATGTTTTAAAGTGTAGTGATGATGTCAGTACACACACCTCCCACTTCTCACTTCCTCCTCTAGTGTTGCTTCCTCTATTATCACTTCCACCTTCATTAATAGTCAACACAAGTGTTGTCAGTGTCTGTCTCAACTAACAAGCTGCTAGTCACTACTGCTGCAAGTTACTTTGCCACGTATTAACAACAATCTTGTCAAGTGTCATATTTAATGTGAATAACAATAAGGATATTTTATTGTGATGCCCTTTTTTTTAAGAGTTCAGTGAGGTAAGTGTACAGAAGTGAATGGTCATTATTCAGAGTTTTGTAAGTACGTATTTAGGTACAGGTACACATAAATAGTTACACAAATTATCATGCATAGTAACATATGTGTAAATTACTTAGGTGCCTTGATGCTGGTGAAGGGCTCTTGATCCAAGGAATCAAAGTTTCCTTCCATATCCTCGAATCAAGTCTAATAACCTCACATTCCCCAGGTTCTGTATAGCTTGTACATCTTATTGCTTCCCCAGGAATAAAATCGATGTTCGCTGCACTGTATTATCCATATAGGTTTAGGGAGTCTTTTTTTTTATATAATAAAATAATAATGAGTAGTGACAGTGCCATAGCTGGAAGAATTAACAGCTTGCTCATAAATTAGAAACGTTATATTATATGATGTTATTGCATTACCTTAGATTCATTTCTTTACCTGGAGAGGATTTCGGGGGCCAACGCCCCTGCGGCTCACGGTGGATCAGGGTCTGATCAACCGGGCTGTTACTACTGGCCGCACGCAAGCTGACATATGAACCACAGCCTGGTTGGCCAGGTACTGACTTTAGGTGCCTGTCCAGTGCCTTCTTAAAGACAGCCAGGAGTCTGTTGGTAATCCCCCTTATGTAGGCTGGGAGGAAGTTGAACAGTCTTGGACCCCAGACACCTATTGTGTTGTCTCTCAATGTACTTGTTGCACCCCTGCTTTTCATTTGGGGAATATTGCATCTCTTGCTGAGTCTTTTGCTTTCATAGGGAGTGATTTTCGTGTGCAGGTTTGGTACCAATCCCTCCAGGACCTTCCAAGTGTATATCATCGTGTATCTCTCTCGCCTGCATTTCAGGGAATACAGATCAAGGACCTTCAACCATTCCCAGTAATTTAGGTGCCTTATCGTGCTTATATGTGCCGTGAAAGTTTTGTACACACTCCAGGTCTGCAATGTCACCAGCCTTGAAGGGGGCCATTAGTGTACAGCAGCATTCCAGCCTAGAGAGCACAAGCAATTTGAAGAGAATCATTATGGGCTTGGCATTCTTAGTTTTGAAGGTTCTCATTATCCATCCTACCATTTTCCTAGCAGATGAAGTAGATACATTGTTGTGGTCTTTGAAGGCAAGGTCCTCTGACATTATCACTCCCAGGTCCTTCACAGTACTTTTCCGCTCTATTGTATGGTTAGTATTTGTCATATACCCTGATACATTTTTAATTTCTCCTTGTTGAACTTCATATTGTTTTGAGCGGCCCATTCGAAGATTTGGTTGATGTCTGTCTGGAGTCTCGTGGTGTCTTCGATGGTAATCCGGGTGTCATCCACAAAGGAAGACACGGAGCTATGACTTACATCTCTGTCTGTGTCAGAAATGAGGATGAGAAATAGAATGGGAGCAAGTACTGTGCCCTGTGGAACAGCTTTTTACTGTGGCTGCCTGGGACTTTACTCTCTTTACTATTACCCTTTGTGTTCTATTTGTCAGGAAGTTATAGATCCAACTATCAGCTTTTCCTGTTATATTCCTTTATCATACATTTTGTGTGCTATTACACCATGGTCACACTTGTTGAAAGCTTTTGCAAAGTCTGTGTATACTACATCTGTTTTGTTTATCCTCCACAGCATCCATGACCTTGTCATAGTGGTCCAGTAGCTGGGACAGGCAGGAGCGACCTGCTCTAAACCTGTGTTGCCCTGGGTTGTGTAATTGATAGGTACCTAGGTGGTTAGTGATCTTGCTTCTTAGAACCTCTCAAAGATTTTTATGATATGGGATGTTAGTGCTATCGGTCTGTATTTCTTTGCAATTGCTTTACTGCCACCTTTGTGGAGTGGGGCTATGTCTGTTGTTTTTAGTGTGTGTGGGATGACCCCTGTGTCCATGCTTCCTCTCCATAAAATGCTGAAGGTACGCGATAGGGGCTTCTTGCAGTTCTTGATGAACACAGAGTTCCATGAGTCTGGGCCTGGGGCAGAGTGCATGGGCATGTCATTTATTGCCTCTTCAAAGTCTTGTTGAGTTAGGATAATATCTGAGGTTTTTGGGATGTCCAAATTTTGGGCTTTGTTCGTAAAGAACTCATTTGGGTTGTCGACCCTTAGTCTGGGCAGTGGCTCATTGAACACTGAGTCATATTGGGACTTCAGTATTTCACTCATTTCTTGGCTGTCATCTGTGTATGTCCCATCCTGCCTAAGCAGGGACCCAATACTGGATGTTGTTTTTTCCTTAGATTTTGCATAAGAGAAGAAGTAATTTTTTTTTTTTCAATTTCCTTTATGGCTTTTAGTTCTTGTAAGATTCCTTCAGCCTAAGTTTGATATTTGCGATTTCATTGACTAGTGCCTCTGAATTTCCGAGATATTGGTCCCACTCGGCAGCTCTGTGACTCTTCACCTCCATCTGTATAGGAAGCATGTGGGAAATTGTAACTTTATAATTAAGTACAGTATATTGCCTAAATAAACTCTTGAAATTGAAGATTTTATTCAGATTAGTAACCCTGGAGCATTACAAATCCAATAAAATCAGGCAGTGGGGATTATTTCTATTGGAGTCCTACTAGAGTTGACTAATTCCCAGGTATTTATTTACTGCTATGTCCCGCGGCTTGATTGGTAGAGCACTCGCCTCACACACTGAGTTTCCGTGGTTCAATCCCGGCCAAGGGGAAAAGTTGGCTGTGTTTACTTACACTTGCTGTCACTCTTCACCTAGCAGTAAGTAGGTACTCGCCTAATTGTGGTTGCAGCGGTCGAGTCACAACCACTTGGTACTTGGGTGATAGTCGACTGTTGTGAGTCACATTCTGGGATATGAGATTGAAGGACCCCAATAAAAATAAGACAGAGCTCAATGATGCACTGTCTTTTTTGGGTTATCTGAAGAGGCTAACCCTCTGGGTTAAAAAATCCAAACAAATCTTATCTTAACAGCTAACAGGTGTTATGAGACTTGCCCGCGTGTCTCCTCATTCAGAACTTGACTTTGGTTGTACAAGTCATCATTTTCAGCCCCTCTTCCTTATTAGCAACTTGCAGCATGAATAATTTTATTTAAGGCAGTATGTTTATGGCTATCTTCAGCCATCAGTCATTTGCTGCACATTTTCTTTTTTAAATTCAATAGAAGAAAGAATGAAGTACAAATACGTCCTGTACATAAACTTAAAGCCATTCTGTACTAGAAAATGAGGCATGCATATATTTTTTATAGATTTAGTTTGCAATAAAATCTCAAATTACGGACCTCGATTTAACATATCTTGGAAATATGAAACAAGATCCATTAGGTTAATTGATTTACAAACCACTGACAGAATTTGTTTGTTGCAGATTTGTCTGTTATTGGTAGGATTATGGCAAAACACTAATCTGTACTTACCACTACAGTATTACTATTACCCACCACCCATTTCTTCTATTAGTTCATTAAACCAAGGGTTTACTGTACTTGGAATGTCATATTGGCATTATGTCTGATTTTTTTGGGTTATCCTAGGTAATTTACACTATGTATGATGATTGTACTTATGTGTACCTGTACCTAAATAAATTTATAGTGGCTCCTTGACTTATGAGTGCCCCAACTTACAAGTTTTCTGAGTTACGAGCTGTCACTCGGTCAATTTTTTGCTTTGAGTTGCAAGCCAAAATCCGAGTTACAAGCAAACTTCAGATACGCCGCCACTAACTGGTGGCGTATCTGAAGTCAAATCCAACTCTGTACCCAGAGGAATGTCAGGTACTTTGTCCCATCCCACATGCTCTTCCAACACATAACTGGAAGGATAATACTTCCACGCTAATCCCAGATTGTAGTGAGGCTCTTCATCCCTTGTTTGGTTCTCGTATAAATCCGGGGAAGAGGCAGCCTCCATTTCAACACTGAGTTTCTCCAGAAACATTAAGGAAGGCCTCCATGATATTTACCTGGCTCACGGAGGTTCCTTCAGTGAGTGGAGTAGTGATGGTGGTGGATGGAGTAGTGATGGTGGTGGATGGAGTAGTGATGGTGGTGGATGGAGTAGTGATGGTGGTGGATGGAGTAGTGATGGTGGTGGATGGAGTAGTGATGGTGGTGGATGGAGTAGTGAAGGTGTGATGGAGTAGTGATGGGGGTGGAGGGGTAGTGATGGTGGTGGGTGGAGTAGTGATGGTGGTGGATGGAGTAGTGATGGTGGTGGATGGAGTAGTGATGGTGGTGGATGGAGTAAATATGGTTGTGGGTGGAGTAGTGAAGGTGGTGGGTGGAGTAGTGATGGTGGTGGGTGGAGTAGTGAAGGTGGTGGGTGGAGTAGTGAAGGTGGTGGGTGGAGTAGTGAAGGTGGTGGGTGGAGTAGTGAAGGTGGTGGGTGGAGTAGTGAAGGTGGTGGGTGGAGTAGTGAAGGTGGTGGGTGGAGTAGTGACGGTGGTGGGTGGAGTAGTGATGGTGGTGGGTGGAGTAGTGATGGTGGTGGGTGGAGTAGTGATGGTGGGTGGAGTAAGTGATGGTGGTGGGTAGAGTAGTGAAATGGTGGGTGAAGTAGAGATGGTGGTGGGTGCAGTAGTGAAGGTGGTGGGTGGAGTAGTGAGGGTGGTGGGTGGAGTATGAAGGTGGTTCTTATTTAAAAACCCGTAACAAAAAAATTGGGGTGGTTTTTTGGGGGCTGGAACGGATTAACGGCATTTCAGTTAATTTCAATGAGGAAAATCGATTTGATATACGAGCAAATTGAGTTACGAGCTTGATCACAGAACAAATTAAACTCGTAAGTCAAGGTACCACTGTACTTTTCTTTGTTGTAAGAGAGTTGTAACTTTGATTCACTTTCATTTCTTTTTAATAACGGTTTTGCATAATAGCAGGTGGCTGTATGTTCAGAAGTTTATGAAAATATTTGATCTAGAGGAACCTAGAGACTTATAAATTATCTCTTGGAATGGAATAATATTTTCTATTTAATATTCTTATAGCTTTCATTGTACAGTGGTACCTCGGTGTACGTCCTTAATCCATTCCAGGTCCTTGGACTTATACCAAACAGGATGTATACCAAACGAATTTTCCCATAAGAAATGTAAGGAAAACGATTAATCCATTCCCATGAAAAAAAAAATCCTGTTCTTATTTTCATATTATACATTGATGGGGTTGTATAAAATAATTTAAACACTGCTTAATACTAAAATATATAATTTAAACACTGCTTAATACTAAAATATATAATTTAAACACTGCTTAATACTAAAATATATAATTTAAACACTGCTTAATACTAATATACATACATAAATACTAAAGAATTAGATGAAATAAATGCAAATTTAGCCTTACTTTGCCGAAAAGTGTCTAGTGCCTACTAGGATAGTGCTGAGAAGGGAGGAGGAAATAATGTTATTGTTTAGAAGGAGAGTCCCCTTCTCTTTTCTGTCTCTTTTCCCTATTTGGACCTGGTTGAAGCTCACCAGGTTTGACTTTTACTAAAAATCTGTCCAAAGAACTTTGCTTCTGCCTTCTCCTCAGGATGTTTCGGAAATGTGACATTATCTGGTCATTCAGTGCTATTATGGCTTGTTTGGGCTTTGTTGGGGTGGTACTTCTCTGTAAATTTTTTGACGTCCATCCATTTGGCAAAGATTTCCTTGATTAATGAAGTAGGGTCGTCTTCTATCTCCTCTTCCGAACCTGAAGAGAGAACATCCATCTTGGTCTTGTGCTCCTCCTTCTCAAGTTCCTGCAGTTCCTCAGTGGTCAGCTCTTCCCTGTGCCCCTCCACTAACTCCTCCACATCACCATCACTCCCATCCAGACCCATGGACCTGCCCAGAGACAGTATCCTCCACTATAGACATAGCCTCAAAGCCCTCAAAGTCCCTTTCAGACACTGCTTCTGGCCACAGATTCCTCCAAGCAGAGTTCATTGTTCTGTATGAAACTTCCTGCCAAGCTTTGTCAGTGAGTTATGCAACGGGCGATAGTAAAGTGGTCTTTCCAAAACTCTCTCAGAGTTAACTCTTTGTCAGAGGTCACTTCAAAGCACCTCTGGAATAGTACTTTAGTGTAGAATTTCTTGAAGTTACTGATGACCTGCTGATCCATGGGCTGAATGAGAGGAGTCGTGTTAGGGGGGGAGATGCTTCACAGTGATGAAGTTCAACTCTGGCAGCACCATAGTCCTGCAAGCATGGAGGGTGAGCTGGAGTATTGTCAATTATGAGGAGGGCCTTCAGAGGCAGGTTTTTCATGGCTTTGTCTCGAGAGAGAAGTAAGCAAGGATAGCGCGTGGTGTCGTGACTCATTTTGACCCGTACAAGTTCTAGCACACGAGTCATATTCCAAACAAAGGTTGTATACCAAGCATAAATTTTCGCGTCCAAACAGGATGTATACTAAGTTGGACTTATTCCAAAGTGGACGTATACTGAGGTACCACTATATACGTACATGTATTTCTATAAAGTAGAAAAATACAAAAAAAAAAAAAAATTGGTTGATAACTTAAAAGAACATATAGTATAAGCAGTTTGAAATAGACACACTCTCATTTCAAATTTTATTTTACTGTACAGTATATCAAAACTTTGTCATTAGGCATTATAATTTAAATTTTCCCTATATGTACAATATGTATTAGGCAGTTTTGTAACGTCATAAAAAAAAAAGCAGGAATTGATTAGTATTTTTTTTTAAATATCGTAACATTTATGTAGTGGAAGCTTGCTTGTGTTTTTGTTCTTTTTTTTAATTGAAAAATCATTTTCTACTCATGAGCTGAGGATACACAAGATAAAGTATTAGATTAAATGTTTTACTCATGTTATTGTTCTACAGTCAGCAGGCCAGTTGCAGCATGATACCAACCACTTGCAAGAACCTGATGCTAGCAAGATGAAGGCTGGAGATGTCTGCAGATGTATATCAGACTTCACAGGAGTTTCGCAAGATGAGTTAACTGTTGCCAAAAATGATATTGTACAGGTATAATATCATACTTTTATAAGTTTTTTGCCTGTTTCATTATTAATTTTTAAATTACAAGTATGTGAATTGTACATAGGATGTTAATGTCAAAATAAGTGTAATAATGATCATCCAAGTTTTTCTCAATAGTATTTATTGATCTGCAAATCATAGTATAACAAGCAGTATTTAAAATATGTTTTTATAAACAATTTTAGATTTTTTAAGTGTAGGAAGGTACTGTAGTTACGGTATAGTATCTGCTTTACTAGGGCAACATTGTCTTATCATTCTAGGTGCACTCGGTGGTGGACCGGCACTGGCTGGAGGGCGAGAGTGGTGGATCGATAGGCCGTGTCCCTTCTAGCATCCTAGTTAAGATAGAACTTCCGCCTCATCCATCACATCTCCCGCTATTTGTTGCCTCTGCAGAGTTCATGCCATCGCAGCCTGGTGATCTTGGCCTAGCCCGAGGTATTTATTTCTCTCTCATGTACTGTACTGTACTTTGCAGTACAGTATATGTTCATGTACTTGTAAGATTGTAAGTAAATCTTAGAAACTTTTACCTGCATTCAGTGTACACTTTACCGTATGTTTTTAATATTTCCTATTTCTGTAATATTTCCTTTCCACATTAGGTGGTGCTGTTAGTCAGGACCATAGGGGCAATGGTCCTCAGAACCATCAACATAATACCAGATGCTCATGGTACTACCAGACCTATAATATGGATTTTAAATTAGTTTATAGCTACAGTAGTAGTTATACTTGTGGTGTCTCATCTTTTAGTATATTAATAAAATTAAATTTATTCAGTGGGGTGGGGGTAAGTAGTTTGGTTTTTATTAATGAACATAATAAAACTTGTATTTATAGTTTATACCAAAAGCAAATGAAAAATATACAAATACTGTATTCTATAATACAGTATGATTGAAAATCTTAATTGCAAATATTGTATTGTACTGAAGAAAAAGCCATGTTACTTAACCAATTTTTATATAACATCACATTCACCAAAATAATAATAAAACAAATTAAGTACTTCCCCATGAATTTAATATTATGGTAATAATTTTTGATAAAGATCTGCAATTTGAGAAATATCCTTTTAGAACAAAACATAAGATGCACCATAAATAAGTGCTCAGTATCAGCTTACAAAAAAAGGGTATAACTATTTTGATTACAGTAGTCTTATAGATCATTTTTTTATAAGGCTCAAGTGGTCATTATCCAAATTGGAGAATGTACTGTTAAAATCCATTCCAGATAATTAAATTCTGTATAATAAAATAAGAGCATACTTTTTTATATAAAGTTCCCAGTGGTTGCTGCACATAACATTGTCTTTTGGAGCTCATTTCAGCTACAAACTACTCCAACTGGGAAGTATTTCTCAGTCTTTTCTCCTTGGCTTTTTTTTTTTTTTTTTTTTTTTTTTTTTTTTTTTTTTTTAAGCTTTATATTTGGTCCTATTTTCTTACTCCTTGCTTTATATTTTCTGAATTTCTGAGATTACCATATCTCTTCTTTTTGTCCTTATATTAAAGTGCTTCAGTTGCTAGGGTTATTAGCACCATGTGTGTCTCCCGTTTGTTCTGTTTATAAAATTAAATTCATCAGCATAAGTTTTATGTTGTATCATGAACATTTAGTATTAATATCATTTAAAATTATTGAGACATTTAACAGTTTGTGTAGTTTGATTTCAAAGTATGTTAAATTCAAATTTCAGTGGTATGCAGAATGTAAATATGGTAAATAAGTTTTTTGAATAGTGGGCCATGGCACCCATGGGGACCATGAGTGGATAAATCTTATGCTAATTAAATAACTGATAAATTTAGCTGAGAAACTCTGGGATAGATGTGTGACAATGTTAATTTATACCGACTGGCCTTTTTTTTTTTTTGCGGCTTTACTGTACAGCATTGTTATTTCTGAGTCAATGGCAAATATTACACATTTCCTCAGGTGATTTTGTGATTGGGTTAAATCCTATTGATGAATCCTGGTGGTGTGGTGAGGTCAATGGACACAAAGGCATATTTCCTCTTAATTTTGTATGGAGCATCAACAAGGATATCATTGAGGTGAGCTATAATTTTGTTTTATTGTCATACATTTGCATGATGGTGAAAGTTTTTCTTTTTCGGGCCACCCTGCTTTGGTGGGAATTGGCCAGTGTGACAATAAAAAAAATAAAATAAACATTTGCATTAGTTTGAATATCTTCACTTTTCGTGTTATCTGTTTGGCTAATTTTGCAGCTTACTCAGTGTTTTATGCTATTATGATTTACCTATGCATGTTGCATGTATCTGTTCTGCTTGAATTTATTTAAAAATTGGGATAGTGCAGGAATATAATTTACATGTTGTCTGTCAATGTGCTCATCCAAGGTAATGTTTTGCTCTTTCTTATGCTAAACTTGAGAGATAGAGAATATTGTTGTTATACAGTCTCTGCAAAAAAATCATTGGATTGAACTTCTAATAAGAAGTTTGCCACCAATCATACATTCAACAGAAAAGATTAACCCTTTGAGGGTCGACAGGCCCTCTCCGAAACTCATTCTCAGGGTCGGCCAAATTTAAAAAAAAAAAAAATTATTTTCTCTTATGAAAAGATAGAGAATCTTTTCCCGATCATAAAGACACCAAAAGTTTGAAATTTGATAGAAAACTTACGGAATTATGCTCTCGCAAAGTTAGCGGTCTCGGCGATGTTTACGCATCGGCAATTTTGCCCACTTTGAGCCCCATTTTCGGCCAATTTCACTGTACTAGTCGACAAAAAACATGAATATTTCGCTAGAACTCCATTTTTTCTATCGAATGGGTGCAAGAAACCACCCATTTATGAAATTCAATTTTGCCAATTTCACACAAATTTCAAAAGATGCCAATTTCCGAATAGGGTCCAGAATAAACAAGAAAGACATTCATGGCACTAAAATGACATTTCCTCTAGTCATTAGTCACGTCTCAAGGCCCCTCTTATATTCTTATGCTTTCCACTTTGAATTTTTATTCTCACAAAAAATATAAGATTTACTGTTATGCAGACTACTGCATTAGTGTAAAAAATGATATAAATATTATTGGTGCACTTGTGAAAGAATATTAGACTCACCAGTTGACGTGTATTGCACGCTTGGCACGATTTGTTTCCTTTTGAAGTTTGGTAAAAATCGAACATATCTGCTACTTTGAGCTCAATTTCAAGGCACCGTTCATTGTAAAACCAGTCAAAATCATCTCAATTTCTGTAATATGTCTTCCATTCTATAAAATGAGACCAAGAAAACTAGAATGCAACAATAAATACCATACGAAAATACACTGCAAAGTCGCTGATTTATTCCAAAAAAATGGTCAAAGTTTTTTTTTTCTCATTATGCACTGTGTGCTGCAGGATTTTTTTTAGACTGTGCACACTGACCACATAGACCCATTCTTTCATATGAAGGCCTACCAGCTATCTCCCACTAGATTTGAGGCCGCTAGAATTTATGCGTACTAGTACGTCAAAAACCCCTACGCGTAAGACATACTAGTACGACCAAAACCCTCAAAGGGTTAAGAACATATTGAAAGCAAGCAACAGGTCATATGACCATATATTGGTTTTCTTTTGTCTAAGTTCCCTGGTAAAACTTGTAAAACTTTTTGTGCACTTTATACTTTCTTTTTCAATTTTTTTTTCAGCAAGCATTTTTTTGGAAGAGACTGTAGCAATTTTTGTTTCTTCATAGTGATCTTGAGCTTACTCTATACACTTATTCATATTTGTGAAGTGTTTTTAGTCTTTCAAACTTCCATTTATATGCCATACATTTGTTCATGACAGAAATGTTAAAAGCAGGGGGGGATATAGTGTTGGAATGGTTGGTACTTTTGTTTAATAAATGTATGAAAGAGGGGAAGGTACCTAGGGATTGGCGGACAGCATATATAGTCCCTTTATATAAAGGGAAAGGGGACAAAGAGACTGTAAAAATTATAGAGGAATAAGTTTACTGAGTATACCAGGAAAAGTGTACGGTAGGGTTATAATTGAAAGAATTAGAGGTAAGACAGAATGTAGGATTGCGGATGAGCAAGGTTGTTTCAGAGTGGGTAGGGGATGTGTAGATAAAGTGTTTACATTGAAGCATATATGTGAACAGTATTTAGATAAAGGTAGGGAAGTTTTTATTGCATTTATGGATTTAGAAAAGGCATATGATAGAGTGGATAGGGGAGCAATGTGGCAGATGTTGCAAGTATATGGAATAGGTGTTAAGTTATTAAATGCTGTAAAGAGTTTTTATGAGGATAGTGAGGCTCAGGTTAGGGTGTGTAGAAGAGAGGGAGACTACTTCCCGGTAAAAGTAGGTCTTAGACAGGGATGTGTAATGTCACCATGGTTGTTTAATATATTTATAGATGGGGTTGTAAAGGAAGTAAATGCTAGGGTGTTCGGGAGAGGGGTGGGATTAAATTTTGGGGAATCAAATACAAAATGGGAATTGACACAGTTACTTTTTGCTGATGATACTGTGCTTATTGGAGATTCTAAAGAAAAATTGCAAAGGTTAGTGGATGAGTTTGGGAATGTGTGTAAAGGTAGAAAGTTGAAAGTGAACATAGAAAAGAGTAAGGTGATGAGGGTGTCAAATGATTTAGATAAAGAAAAATTGGATATCAAATTGGGGAGGAGGAGTATGGAAGAAGTGAATGTTTTCAGATACTTGGGAGTTGACGTGTCGGCGGATGGATTTATGAAGGATGAGGTTAATCATAGAATTGATGAGGGAAAAAAGGTGAGTGGTGCGTTGAGGTATATGTGGAGTCAAAAAACGTTATCTATGGAGGCAAAGAAGGGAATGTATGAAAGTATAGTAATACCAACACTCTTATATGGGTGTGAAGCTTGGGTTGTGAATGCAGCAGCAAGGAGGCGGTTGGAGGCAGTGGAGATGTCCTGTCTAAGGGCAATGTGTGGTGTAAATATTATGCAGAAAATTCGGAGTGTGGAAATTAGGAAAAGGTGTGGAGTTAATAAAAGTATTAGTCAGAGGGCAGAAGAGGGGTTGTTGAGGTGGTTTGGTCAATTAGAGAGAATGGATCAAAGTAGAATGACATGGAAAGCATATATATCTATAGGGGAAGGAAGGCGGGGTAGGGGCCGTCCTCGAAAGAGTTGGAGAGAGGGGGTAAAGGAGGTTTTGTGGGCAAGGGGCTTGGACTTCCAGCAAGCGTGCGTGAGCGTGTTAGATAGGAGTGAATGGAGACAAATGGTACTTGGGACCTGACGATCTGTTGGAGTGTGAGCAGGGTAATATTTAGTGAAGGGATTCAGGGAAACCGGTTATTTTCATATAGTCGGACTTGAGTCCTGGAAATGGGAAATTCAATGCCTGCACTTTAAAGGAGGGGTTTGGGATATTGGCAGTTTGGAGGGATATGTTGTGTATCTTTATATGTGTATGCTTCTAAACTGTTGTATTCTGAGCACCTCTGCAAAAACAGTGATAATGTGCGAGTGTGGTGAATGTGTTGAGTGATGATGAAAGTATTTTCTTTTTGGGGATTTTCTTTCTTTTTTTTGGGTCACCCTGCCTCGGTGGGAGATGGCCGACTTGTTGAAAAAAAAAAAAAAAAAAAAAATTTGTTCTTGCACATGAAATTTATGAGTGCTCCTTCTAAATGTTTCCTGGTGGCAGAAGAATACTTGTGCAGTATTTGCTTAGTATGTTATTAAATCATCAAGATGTAAAGTGTGAGATTTGTCCATAAAAGCTTGTGGTCACATTGGGATCCTTGGTAGACTTTCTAGTAGGATGAATCTTATTAGGTAGGGATGGTACTATAGATAATGCACTGGCGGGTTAGTTTTAGGACTGGCTTATGTAGTGAGTTACTAATGCTTGCTCACTTTAAATTTTATTGTGAAAGTTTTAATACACCCATTATTGTATTTGCTCATATTGTATGAACAGTTAAATGTGTGTAATTTACTAGTTCAGTTTTACTGAAACTTTGTGATGTAGATACACTTATGTTAATATAATCTTTGTATTTTAGGAAGAAGATACGAGAGAAAAGCCAGTCAAGATGAGAGGAAAAGTCAAGATGAGTCTTCAAGCGCAGCTTCCAGAAGAATTAGACTTGTACACTGGGGATATTGTTAACATCACCCATGTGGTGGACAAAGATTATTTTAGGTATATTAGCATTGATCTTGTAATTTTACCTGAGTTTGGAAGCATTTATGAAGGGATACAAGTAAACTAATTACCTGGACATGAATCCTGAGGGTGGTAAGTACAGTGGACCCCCGAGTTTCGTCGGCATCGACTTTCGTGAAATCCGACTTTCGGCAAGTTTTTTCGGCAAAATTTTGCCTCGCGGTTTGTGATTGGACTCGTGATTTGGTGACCGTCCGGTACCCGTCCGCCTGTCACCGCGCCCACAAAGCCAGTCTCCTGCACCATTCACACTCAGTGTGCCATTGTTTACCAGCACGTGACCATCACCCCGCGGGTTCATACAATACATTTCATAATAATCCATTGTTTTTTGTGCTTGCAACTGCTAAATAAGTCGCCATGGGCCCAAGGAAAGCTAGTGCAAGCCCTTTGGTAAAGAAAGCGAGGAACACAATCGAATTCAAGAAGGAAATCATTGACAAATATGAGAGTGGAGTGCATGTTACAGAACTTGCCAGCATGTATGGCAAACCCCATTCATCCATCACTTCGATCATGGCAAAGGGAAAGGAAATAAAGTGTGCTGTTGTTGCAAAAGGGGTAGATATGCTGACAAAAAAGAGATCGCAAACCCTCGAAGAAGTGGAAAGGTTATTGTTGGTGTGGATTACCCAAAAACAGTTAGCAGGAAATAGTATTATGAGTCGATAATATGTGAAAAGGCAAGGCAGTTGCATGATGATCTCGTAAAGAAAGTGCCTGCAACAAGTGGTGATGCTTGTGATTTTAAGGGCAGCAAAGGTTGGTTTGAGAGATTTAAGAAGTGTTGTGGCATTCACAGTGTGATAAGGCATGGTGAGGCTACCAGTTCTGACAAAAAAGCAGCTGAGAAGTTTGTACAGGAGTTTAAGGAGTGAGTAGACACTGGAGAATTCAAATCCAAACAAGTGTTTAATTGTGACGAAACAGGCCTCTTTTGGAAGAAAATGCCAAAGAGGACCTACATCACGCAGGAAGAAACGGCACTCCCAGGACACAAGCCTGTGAAGGATAGGCTTACTCTCATGTTTTGTAGTAATGCTAGTGGGGATTGCAAAGTGAAGCCTTTACTGATGTATCACTCTGAAAATCCCAGAGTGTTCAAAAAAAACAGTGTTGCCAAGAGTAATTTGTAAGAGTAAGGCATGGGTCACAAGGGGAATTTTCCTAGACTGGTTTAATGAAGTGTTTAGCCCCAGTGTGAAGAAATACCTCCTGGAAAATAAATTGCCACTCAAGTGCCTCCTGGTAATGTACAATGCTCCTGCTCATCCTCCAGACTTGGAAGAGCAAATAGTGGAGGAGTTTAGTTTCATCACGGTGAAGTTCTTGCCCCCTAATACAACTCCTCTCCTCCAGCCCATGGACCAGCAGGTCATTTCAAACTTCAAAAAACTGTACACCAAAGCAGTGTTTCAAAAGTGCTTTGAAGTGAAGAGTGTTCTGGAAAGATCACTTCAATATCCTCACTTGCATAAACCTTATAGGTAAGGCTTGGGAAGGAGTGACTTGCAGAACTTTGAATTCTGCTTGGAGAAAATTGTGGCCAGAATGTGTACAAGAGAGGGATTTTGAAGGGTTTGGGGCTGACCCTAAGGAGCCTATGCCAGTTGTGGAATATATTGTGGCATTGGGGAAGTCCCTGGGGTTGGATGTGAGTTTGGAGGATGTGGAAGAGTTGGAGGAGGACCAAAGGGAAGAGCTAACTACTGAAGAGCTGCAAGAGCTTCATCTGCAACAGCAAGAGATCACAGCTCAGGAAATTGCTGCAGAGGAGGAGGAAGAGAGATGGAGGAAGGTGCCTTCTTCAAAGATTAAGGACATTTGTGCAAAGTGGACTGAAGTGCAAATGTTTATGGATGAACTTAACCCTAACAAAGCTGTTGCAGGCCATATTGACAACATGTACAATGACAGCGTTGTCCCACTTCAGACAAATCTTAAAGAAACGCCAGAAACAGAGCTCTCTGGACAGATATTTTGTACGACAGGGGTCCAGTGACTCAAGTTGTTCCCAGTGTCTTTAAAAAACAAAGAAGGGAAGTAACCCCAGATAAGGACTTGGTATCTGAAGTCCTAATGGAAGGAGATTCTCCTCCCAAACAATAGTGTACACCTTCCTCCTATCCTCTCCTCCCAATTCCATTCACCTAGAAGTCTTCAGTAAAGGTAAGTGTAATGTTGTTATTATTTTATATATGTATGTACTTGATTTCTCATTAATAACAAAAAAAGGCACAATACCGTGACTGGAACGATACACAAATAACCCGCACATAAAAGAGAGAAGCTTACGATGACGTTTCGGTCCGACTTGGACCATTTACAAAGTCACACTAACCAGAAGTGGAGCAGGACAACTATATATAGGCAGGAAGAGGTGGTGGTAGTAGTTGTAGTACAAGAATGATGTATAATACCGACAAGATGAAATTAAGACACATGCGCAACACCCGGGCATCCCTATTGTAGACGTTTCGCCATCTAGCCAGCCACTGGATGGCAAAACGTCCACAACAAAGACAACCAGACGCCGCACATGTGTCTTAATTTTATCAGTAGTTGTAGTAGTAGTAGTAGTAGTAGTAGTAGTAGTAGTAGAAGAGGTAGTGGTAGAAGTGGGGAATAAGGACGACGAGCCAGTCCAATACAAAGGAAGGGGAGCACCACCTCTTCCTGCCTATATATAGCCGTCCTGCTCCACTTCTGGTTAGTGTGACTTTGTAAATGGTCCAAGTCGGACCGAAACGTCGTCGTAAGCTTCTCTCTTTTATGTGCTGGTTATTTGTGTATTGATTTCTCATTGTTTTCAGTATGTAAATCTTTATTTAATTTGAAAAAAAAATATTTTATTTTGATATTTTTGGGTGTCTGGAACGGATTAATTGTATTTCCATTATTTCTTATGGGGAAAATGGTTTCGCCATTCAGCAATTTCAACATTCGCCAGACTCTCTGGAACGGATTAATCACGAAACTCTGGGGTCCACTGTACAGTGACTGTACTCGATGGATGGACAGATGGATGGATGGAAATGTTGCAGCTCAGTGGGTCATTTGCAGAGGTGATGGCATATCCTTCTTTGAGTCATGCTACCATGATGGGAGATGATTAATATGGTACATTTTTGGTTTTGTTTTTACAATAGGGTATGTGTAAACCAAATGTTTGTTGAATATAGATGAACAATGTTTCAATAAGGTTAACCATTTCACTGTCAGTGCCATAGTACTACAGCTTGCAAGCCAGTGTTGGTGCCATAGTATTATGCCAAAATTCTAGTGGCTTCAAATCTAACGGGAGAAAGCCGCTGGTAGACCTACACGTGAGAAAATGGGTCTGCATGGTCAGTGTGCGCAGTATAAAAAAAATCCTGCAGCACGCAGTGCATAATGAGAAAAAAAAAAACTCCAGTTGTATTCTCGTTTTCTTGGTTTCATTTGATAGAATGGAATATATATTACAGAAATAGAGATGATTTTGATTTGTTTCACGATGAAAAGTACCTTGAAATTGAGCTCAAAGTAGCAAATATGTTCGATTTTTGCCAATTTTCAAGGGTAAACAAATGACGTCAGGATCCAATACGTGTTCAACTGGCCAGTCCAATACGCAGTCATGAATGAGTCGACATTATTTATACAATTATAACAATAATGCAGTAGTCTGCATAACAGTAAATCTTCTCATTTTTGTGTGAATAAAAATTCAAAATGGAAAGCAAGAGTAATAAAAGAGGGGTCTGAAGACGTGACTAATGAACAGAGAAAATGTTATTTTGGTGCCAGGAATGTCTACATTGTTTATTCTGGAGCCTATATTGAAATTGGTATCTTCTGAAAATTGTGTGAAATTGGCCAAATTGTCAATTTGACCCCTTTATTGGGTAGTTAAAATTGGTAAATGGGCTTTTCTAGTACTCATTTGATAAGAATAAATGGAGTTCTAATAAAATAGCTATGAGTTTGGTTGACTGGATCAATGGAATTGGCCGAAAATGGGGCGCAAAGTGGGCAAAATCGCCAATGCAGATACATCGCTGAGACCACTGACTTCGCAAGAGTGTAATTCCCTAAGTTTTCCCATCAAATTTTGTACTTTTGGTGTCTTTACCATTGGGAAAAGATTATCACTTCTTAAGAATTTTTTTTTTTTTAAATTCTTCGACACTGAGAGCAAATTTGTGAGCAGGGGTCTTGACAGTGAAAGGGTTAAGGACCTGTTTGTTGTATCTATTTATTTAACCCCTTAAGTGTGACAAGTGAGCAAAAGAAATTTTGTTTAAAAAAAAAAAAAAAAAAAAACTTACAGTTCAGATACAACAGTCTAGCTGTCCCTCCAAACTGCCAATATCTCAAACCCCTCCTTTAAAGTGCAGGCATTGTACTTCCCATTTCCAGGACTTGAATCCAACTAACCGGTTTCTCTGAATCTCTTCACAAAATATTACCCTGCTCACACTCCAACAGCTCGTCAGGTCCCAAAAAATCATTTGTCTTTATTTGCTCCTATCTAACATATTCATGCACACTTGCTGGAAGTCCAAGCCCCTTGCCCACACACCTTTACCCCCTCCCTCCAACCTTTTTGAGGATGACTCTTACTCTGCTTTCCTTTCCTTACAGATTTATATGCTCTCCAAGTCATTCTACTTTGTTCCATTCTCTAAATGACCAGCCCACCTCACAACTCCTCTTCAGCCCTCTGACTAATACTTTTAGTAACACTACGCCTCGTAATTTACACACTACGAATTCTCTGCATAATATTTACACATTGCCCTTAGACATGACATCTCCACTGCCTCTAGCCGCCTTCTCGCTGCAGCATTTACAGTCCATGCTTCATACCCATGTAAGAGTGTTGGTGCCACTATACTCTCATACATTCCCTTCTTTGCCTGCATGGATACCGTTCGTCTCCACAGATACTTCAATGCACCACTCGCCGTTTTTCCTTCATTAATTCTATGGTT